TCAAATTTATAACAATAAAAATATGCATGAGGTTCCTTACATAATAATTGCACAATTTTAATTAATCACATCACATCGTAATGCGTTTCAAATCGCATAATCTGGTGTCTCTAATATCATACGACCAGCATGTCCCATGACTGATTCAAAACAAAAAGCTGCTCTGATACTGCCATATCGGGCAGCTAAATATTCGCAGGGTTCACGCTACGGGGGTAATATGATAGCTGAGCCTGATTACGATCGGTGAAGTAGAATCAGAATGGTGTAATGATGAGCTGCATTGCGGGAACACCCTATTTTTTCAGTATAGTTTTTTTTCTCTGTTCTTCTGTTACTGCACATAGTTAACATCGACATGCATTTTTTTATTTTCTTAAAGATAACTTGGGCCTAACTCTAGGTCAAATTGAGTTTTTATTGGGTGATTATATCATTCATGTTTATGCCCTTTATAGTAGAGTGGTGGGCATGGGTTCATGGAGGCACGCTCTACCATATGATTAAAGGCGATCGATTATGTAATAGTATACTGCTCTAATTGGCTATTATAATAAATTTACAGTAGTTTAATACAAAATTATTGATCTAGTAATACTTTATATTTAAAGCTATTAAGCTTTATTATACAAAATTTATTTCTATAATTAATTCATTATATGATTTACATCTATCTTTATTAAAGTTCTACTTTTTGTATACTAATTACTTTTAGTAATACATAATAAAGTGGAAATTTCATATACTGTAATTTATACTGTATATAAAGGGCATGCCTTATTCTGAAGCATACCCCTAGGGGCATGCCCAAATATTTTTCTGTGCCCCCACCAGTGAAAAAGATTTGAAATTTTTTCTTGTTCTTCGGGAACATAAATTATTAAATTTATGTTTCTAAAATAATTTTTAATGTTCCTATAATAAAAATAAGGAATATTATATTCATAACACCGGTGTTATTATAACACCCTATATATTTTGAGTTTGAGTTAGATTAGGGTTAGGGTGCAGCTTTAAGATATATAGGAGTTTTTTATATAATATAATATATATTGGATATAAGGCCCCGATTTCAGTTCTCGTGAGGTTTTCAGGGTCCTGAGCATTTTTACTTAAAATACCCGATCCGTTTACTTAGTACATTTTTGAGATATGGCATAGGGTTAGCATAGGGTGTTATATAACACGGTGTTATGAATATAACTTTCCTAAAAATAATAAATATATTCTCTCTTTCTTTCTTTCTCTCTCTCTTTCTCTCTCTATAGGGACATAAATTATAACTTTTATGTTGCCCCTTTGTTCCTAAAAAGGAACATAAATTTTAAATCTAGTGTTCCTAATTTTTTGAATGTTCCCGGGAACATTGGAAACATTAAATCTTTAACACTGTCCCCACCCTACTTTATGGGATACAACTCCGGGTTGTTATAAACCTAGTCATAGGATACACCTCTACGTGGTGACTAGACAAGTAAGCTAACTTTTTTTTTTGTTAGCTGAAACTAAGTATCCTTGCAAAAAAACGTGTAAATAGAAAAAAAATAGTAGATAAATTTAAAGAAATAGTCAAATGTACAAATTGAATAATGTATAATATCAAAAAATAAAATGTAATTTGTCGCAAAATTTAATAATAAATAATAAATAAATGATTATAAAATGTTAGTTATCATAAATTTTAAAGAAAAGCGTTTTTCGAATTTAGCATGTTAACAACATAATTTCTAATGAAATACTGTAAAGTTGTCGACACTTAATCTTTTCTAAAGAAAACGCTATTTCGATAATCACTTGGAAGAGGTAAGAATAAATTCAAAACGACGATATGATAAAGAAAATGAACAAAAATTTTTATTATCACAAATAACTTGTGCAATTAATTTATTAAAACAATCAATGATAATCAAATTGCGTACATTATTTCGTAAATATTAATACTGTAATATTAGGGATGCAGTAGAAACTGATACGATTTTATGTAATGCCGGCCATCCAAAGTGTTGTTCTTGATGCATAGTTATGCGATCAAAGAACAATAGTAAAAAAAGAGAATTCTACGTATTAGCTGTTTAATGCTATTGTTTTTGTTATTAATATATTACTTTTATTTTAGATAGATCAAAAACGACATTTTGGATGGCATTTACTATACGTCGTTTTTTAAACTTCGCATATATCGATATTATTCGGCAAAGCGAAATTCATTACGTAAATTATCTTTTAAAGGAGATTCTATAATATGAACTCGTGAAAACTGTAGTAGTCTGTATTTTGTCATCCACCCGTGAATTCGATTCAAATCATCGATTATAGTAACCGAGCAAATCGATTTTAAAATTATACTAACAAAAAAAAGATATATTACTGTATGTATAACTTTTCTAACCATAAATCTAACCTTAAACGAAATTATAAATTCACATGACAATATACACATGACTTTATTTTTGATTGGTTAATATTAACTACTATATGTGCATTAACATTATTGTATTCATTTCAATGAAATTATCCTTCCAGTAGAATTTTTTTTCATTGGAACCATTGAGAACCTAAAAGCCCGGTAAGGTTCGAGATTCCAGTCGAACAATAATACAAAAAAAAAAAAAATTATTAATGTGCGTCTTCTCGTTTGGAAATATAATCCACAGCGTCTTTGATTGATCGAATTTCATCTGCCTCTTTATCAGGAATTTCGATCGAGAAATCTTCTTCAATATTCATGACGACCTCAACAGTGTCCAGGCTATCCAATCCGAGATCATCGGCGAAGCGCGCTTCAGGGGTTACCTTTATTTGTTTTGATTCGTGTTTAGTAAAGATAAAAATAGATAATTTTTTTGTTTTTTGGCCAATTGTTTCAATTCCATAAAAATTCCATAAAAAGTGTATGACAACATAATATTAATGTGGATAACAATTTTTTAAGGATGATGATGATTCAATAATGTGAAACTATATTAAAAAGAAATTCTTGACGGATAAACTAAATTTGAAGGGAATAACCAAAATTTTTAAGTTCATACTAATGATTTATCATTTAGTTTTCTATATCATATTCATACCTTTTTTGCATCTACCTTATCAAAAGATCTGAGAATATCCATAATTCTAGTCTCGATATTGCTACGAGAAAGACCGGCTGTTGTAGAATAAAGTTTTTGAGAAGGAATGATCTTAAGTTTGGGTAATGAAGTTGCAAGTACTGGTAATTTTCTATAAGCTTGTTGGTGAAAAATGGAGAAGCCGGCAGGACGTAGACGGTATAAATTCGTTCGAGTTGAAAATCTATTCATTCTCTTTTAAAAAAATTTGAATGTTTATGTAAAATTATAGATTCTATACCCTACATAAAATTATAGATGCGATACCGAAAATTATCAATTGATAAAATTCAATATGCAATTTTGATTGGCAGTTACATAAATATATATGCAGACTAGTACATTCTCCACTATTACTGCTATTACTGCTATTACTGCTATCACTGTGTTAATGCTAAAGAAAGATATTGATTCTTCTTTTATAAAAAAGTTATCACTATACGTTTTAAATAACTAGCCTAAACATAATAAAAGAAGTTATTAATATTTTGCGTGTGAATATTTTTATGAATTTTTTATTCTACCACAATTATCGTTATTATTTTTCGATCCATATTCACGTATCTGGGAATGCCACGTAATCAAAGACAATTCTAAAATGAATTTATAAAATTTATAACGATAATAACAGAAAATAATGATTTAAATGGATAAGAAGATAAGAAGACTGCGCCTAAAATAAAAACTTGAATTTATAGAAAAGTGATCAGTTATGCTATCAATAATTCATTATCGTTATTACAGTACAGCAGTATGTAAAAATAATTCACATGATTATAATGATTTTAACAATTTTCAATGTTCTCGAATTCTTTACGGTTAAAAACGGATATATATGTCGTACTATTGTTTAATACGTTGAAAAAAAAAAATCGATGCCTACCTCATTGACGCGAACAATTTTATTCACCACAAGACAAAGGCATTTGATATTTAATCATATCAATCGCCCATTTATCAATCGTCGTTTTTATGCTTCGGAAGTACGTAAACAAAATCTTATAGAAAAAATTGTACAAAAATATGCACAGGACTTATCTCCTGGTCAAAAAGTAAAAAGTGGTGATTTCGTGACAATTCAACCTGAACACGTAATGACCCATGACAATACAGCTGCAGTAAGAACAAAGTAGGTTACATATTTGCATATCACTATAGGCAATAAAAAACTTTTTCTGACTTTAAACCTTTTTAGGTTTCAGAGTATTGGCGCTCAAAAGATTAAATTTCCAAGGCAAGCTGTATTCACTCTCGACCACGATGTACAAAATAAATCTGAAAAGGTATTTTAAATATATATATATATATTCAACTAATTACATTCTTTTAAAAGTTTTACAATTAATTTTATTATAAAATTTTATTTTATATATCTAGAATTTAGCAAAATACGCGTCCATCGAAGAATTTTCTAAACTTCAAAATGTTGATTTTTATCCTGCTGGACGTGGAATTGGTCATCAAATTCTTGTTGAAGAAGGTTACGCGTTTCCATATACCATGACTGTAGCGTCAGATTCTCACTCTAATATGTATGGTGGAATTGGTTGTTTAGGAACTCCTGTTGTTCGAACTGATGCTGCTTCAATTTGGGCTACTGGTAAAACTTGGTGGCAGATCCCTCCTGTCGCTAATGTAGAATTTAAAGGCCAATTACAAGATGGTGTAACTGGAAAAGATATTATAATTACTTTATGTGGAATGTTTAATAATGATGAAGTTTTAAATTGTGCAATTGAATTTACTGGTGATGAAAGTATTCGTGGAATAAGTTTAGATGATCGATTAGCCATTGCTAATATGACTACTGAATGGGGTGCATTAGCTGGTGTTTTTCCTGTTGATGAAATTACTATTAAATGGCTCAGAGAAAGAGTTAATAAATTAGATCTTTCAAAATTTGAAAATAAAAATTTGAAAAAATTTGTGACATCTGATCGACCATTTGAACATCCTAGGATTAACCATTCAAGAATTGATTATATTGAAAAAAATTCTTTAAAATCTTCCCCTGATGCTTATTATGCAAAACATTTGACTTTAGACCTTTCAACTGTTTCCCCATATATTTCTGGTCCTAATTCTGTTAAAGTTTCAACTCCTCTTATTGAACTCGAAAAACAAAATATTGCCATTAATAAGGCATACCTTGTATCATGTGTTAACTCTCGCGTAGGTGACTTAAAAGCTGCTGCTCAAGTTATTAAAGGAAAAAAAGTTGCAGATGGTGTGGAATTTTATGTAGCAGCAGCAAGCAGTGAGGTACAAAAAGATGCTGAAACGAGTGGTGATTGGCAAGCACTTATTAATGCGGGTGCAAGAATTTTACCTGCTGGTTGTGGGCCATGCATTGGTGGGTTCTCTCTCTTTGGTACATTGGTAATGTTTCATTAACAAAATTTATAAATTATTACCTAATAGGTCTTGGTGTTGGTCTTTTGAAAGATGGTGAAGTTGGTATTTCGGCAACCAATAGAAATTTTAAAGGTCGAATGGGATCTACAAATGCGTTAGCTTATCTCGCTTCCCCGGGTTAGTTACAAAAATTATTATGTATTATTACAATTCTCTCAAATCAGTTGCATTACTGACAATTTATTAATTTCAAAATAATTAGCTGTTGTTGCTGCTTCTGCTATAGCTGGAAAGATTGCCAATCCAACTTATCTCTCTACATCATCATCATCATCACCACCAACTCCGAAAATAACCTATACTCTCAATCCTCCTGACGAATATACTGAAAACTCAACGGTCAATAATGATTCTGCTATACCAGGGTTTCCGGATACTATTAAAGGACAATTACTATTTTGTCCAGCAGATAATTTAAATACTGATGGAATTTATCCTGGAAAATATACTTACGAGGATGATATTTCAACCGAGAAAATGGCTAAAGTTGTCATGGAAAATTATGATCCCAAATTCGCAAGCATGGTTTCCAAGGTATTTTAGTTAGTATACTCTATTATTTTTGTAACTATATAGATTTTACTGATCAGTTTTAATAGGGAGATATTTTGGTTGGTGGATTTAATTTTGGAACAGGATCATCTCGAGAACAAGCTGCTACTGCAATCAAAGCCAGTGGTATATCACTTCTTATAGCTGGTTCTTATTCTCAGATATTCAAACGAAATTCGATAAATAATGCCTTGATTTGTCTTGAATCGCCTGAACTTGTGCAACTTTTAAAAAGTTCTTGCAACCTAGAAGAAAAAACCATACGTACACAATTAGATGTTGAGGTTAAATTTGCTGAAGGTAAAGTGTTGGTTAAAGGTTCGAATGGTGTAGATAATGTTTTTAAGGTTGGTACATTAGGAAAAAGTGTTCAAGAAATATGGATAGCTGGTGGATTAGAAAATTGGATCAGACAGAGATTGTAAAAAAAAACGTATTATATTTTTTCAAAATAAAATACGTGATATATTTTAATTTATTAAATTATAAGTTCTAAAAATATTATTATTAATGTAAAAATTTTTTAATTACATATTGGAAATAAATCTCTTTACATACACTAAATGGTCTCTACTTTTATTGAAATTAAAATTAATTAGTCCAAAAACATCAATTTTTTTAAATACAAATCATGAATATCTACAAATTATTATTTCTAAGAAAAAAAAAAAAAAAAAGATTTAAAAAATTCTAGAATAATATAAACTTTCAAAGGCATATTAAAAATTAGAATTTATTATCGCCCTTCTCCAAATATACCATAATGATATTGTTCATCATCATCATCTTGTGATAACAATTCATATCTACCCTTTTTTGCCGGTCTTGAAACTTCAATCGACAGAGTACTTTTAGACCTTTCCAAACTAATCTGACCTCCAACTCCAGCTGTTGTCTCTTGCCAAGGAAACCTTGGTTCACGTCTTCTACCACCAAAATGATTTACATTTACTTTGAATCCATTTTCACCCCACCAATACATAACTAAACTTGCAATACTAATACCCACAACAGCACCAAACATAACTCTTGGACCACCCGCACTATCATATAACATACCACCAAATAAACTTCCAAATCCAGTACCAAATCCTGCATATACGGCTGTCATAACGCCTTGCGAAAATGAGATGAGATTAGGTGGTGCACTATTAGCAATATGCGTGACACCAGAAATCCACAAAGCGGAGAAACCAATGCCATTTAAGAGTTGAGCAAAGAGCGCCAATATATATGAAATTGTGTTTTTTTGCAAAAATATATACATGAAACATCGTATTATCGTTACTATGTGAGCAAGGAAGATCAACGAACAGAGACCGAATTGAGATATTAACTAATATTATAAAATTGATACAATTTTTTTTTTTAATTAAATATGTAAATGAATAAAATTGGTGACAAAAAAAAAATTACCTCTTTTGAATAAAAGAAGAACAATAGTTCAGCGACAGAACTAATTGGACCTGTTAAACCAAGAACTATCGAACTAGCTCCCAATTCTTGATTAAGAAATAATAATAAGAATGCGTTACTCATGGCAAAGGCAGTCCCCATTAGTAACATGACTGTTAATAAGGTCACTACTGAAGGATTTGTAAGTAATTTCTTCATTGAAGAAGTAGGATCATTTGTAAAAGAGGCAGTAGGAAGATTGAGTGAAGTTGGTGGAAATGCCAAAATATCTAGGTCGGGTACCAACATCTCGTCTTCATCTTCATCTATCGAAGAATCATCCCCATCAAACTCACCAACATGGGAAGACATATTAATTACGGAACCATTATTAAATTTAACGCTGCCTCTCGAACTAGACGCGACATCATCATTATCATCGAGATTGATCAATGGTTTAAAAGAAATATCATTTGACCGCGTTGTAATTATATCAAAATCATCTACAAACTGATTAAAATCAGTACAAAGAGCACAAATTACAAATATGATTGCACTTCCAACGAAGTAGTAAAAGGCAACGTTAATGTTATCGGCAGCACTCCACAAAAGACCAATTAATAAGGTACTGGTGCCGTGTGAAACAGATCCCCACAATCTTTGTTGACCTTTATGAATTATAAAGGAAATCAAAACATTAATATATTAAATAAATAGCTAAAGTTTTTTAATAATTCATTAAAAAGATCAACATACCGTAAAGTTCTCTTTTATCACCAAGAATTTTTAGTACTCCACTATCAACCAATGCATTAACAGGTACACCAAAGAAAGCAAACCATAGCGCAGCAAATAACACACACACTAGAATAAAACCATTATTACTTGAATTATTAACGTCGATTATTAATGGTAAAATCATTTGAACAATAACACTAAAGGTCGCCAAAGTATAAATTATAGCAATGATGAATCGATGTGCTTGAAATTTGTCAGCCAGGCCCGTCCAAAGAGGACAGCTCAAAGCAGAAATGAAAGGTGCAATAGAAAAGACAATACCAATTTGTGTAGATGTTAAATTTAAACTTGTATTATAAAAAATTGGGAGATAAGGAAGAACTGAGCCATTGCCCATACACAACGTAATAAATAATAATTTTGGTGCAAGATAAGGTACAGAATAAAATCTTGAAAGCATTTGATTCAAAAAATTCCAAATACACCCAGCACGAGTTTCACTCGGGTGTACCATGAAAGTACTTGAGCCATTTTGAAATATCTTTGAAACCCAATCTGGTGGAGCAAACTGTAAAGTAGTTGAGGATTGAGCCCGTTTAACGCGGGGTTTTTGTGATTTTTGAGGCACCATCGCGTAGAAAAAAACGTAAGATTCGTTTTGATTTCTACGTATAACGAATAACGTTGTGATTAAATTCTTTAACGTGTTACAAGCAGATAATCTAATTGGCCTAGAAAATTTTAAATCTTATAGGTCATTAACTTTTATGCACATACCCCCCATATTTAGAAGATAAAAAATATTCGGTTTACTTCTTGTTGCCTTAATTACAACTTTCATTCATGCTGTATCATTTTATTTTAATTGTACAGAAGTTCCGAAAGTATTTCCAAGACTACTTATTTACCATATGTAGATACCAGATTACTTCTATCTTCCATAATTCATATGAAAACTTCCTTGAAATTACGTAATTTCTGGTACTTATTAGAAAATTGGAAATGGCACAAACACTGAAATTAAGTTACATAACTCTGTTATCGTGGGGAAGCAAAGCATTTTTGTAAAAAAAAGAATTCGATTTCCCAATTTCTTAAAATCGGTATTTCCTGCGCTTTGCAAAAAGGTGTGACTCTGCTGATCATGATTTCATATAAAAAAAATCACTGATTCCTGGATTTACAGATTTTCCAATAAATACCCGGGTGTTTTAAAGGTTTCAAAACACGGTCCCTTTTTTTAAGTGACCTTATACATTGAGATCGATGATTATTTATATTTTCATAAATGGGTCCTTCCACAACAAATCGGGGTTTAGAGACGATCTAACCGATATTGAGATTTTTATTGGATAGTATTCACAAGTGCGCGAATAATTCATAATAAAAATTTCAGCATAGGTTGATATACTATAATTTGGTACAGTTCTATACGCAGTAATTTTACATATGCTGATTCTCTGTTCTATTTTTAGACCACTGTTAACGTTAGAATGCTTTAAATCGCTACTATCGCTACCACTATCACTAATAAAGTTAAAATTATATCAACAACGCATATCAGTATAATGTATGTGTATTCGCACTAAACTATATTACATATAAATATCTAAATTTATCTCAACAATCAAAAATTGATTAATCGTTGATATTTACAAATCAAAAAATCGTTTCTAAGCCCCGAAGGACCCAAATGATCTCTATGTATAAGGTCACTTAAATAAAAAAAGGGACCGGGTTCTGGAACTTTTGAAACACCCGGTATGTAATATTACTGATCGAATATATGATTGATAGCTATTTAGAATCTCAGAAGTTTCCTGAATGACCTAACAATCGAGCGCAAAGTCGCAATAAAGTTAGTTTATTATAATGTTCATATGAGTGTCGCGTGAAAAGTCTGATTACTTGTACGACTTAATAGCTAAAACCGAAGGGTTGATCCTTTGCATCACTGCGCCAAAAATTAAGCTTTTCTTTGAATATTATCTTGGGTACAACTATATCCATATGGAATATCTACATGGAATGTCTACATGGAACGAAAGTTCAACTAATCACTCGTACAACTTTAATCATTTTTATATATTTAGGTTTTCTACTTACTGTGGATATCAGATATACTGTATGTATGTACGTATGTACATACGTAGCGTTAAATCACACTATACCGGGTACAAGTCGTTATATGTAAAATTGACTTAAGTCGACTAGTCGGCTTAACCAAAAAAAAATTTCGAATATCGATATAAAATCACGTACGTATAAAGCAATAAATGCAGAAATATTAATATTAAATTGAAGAACATGTTTAAATAAAAAAATTGAATATCACGTAAATGGCTTGATATATCAAAAATAAAAATTATATTATTTTAAAAAATCGTAATAATAGCTCATTCTAGTATAAAAAACGATTTAATGCTATATATTTAATTTTACTTTTTTATTACTTTAAATTACATGAATTTTGTATATCTTACATTCAAAATTCTTTTTATTAACGAATTTATCCTATTCAATTAGCTATGTACAAATAAGCACTTCCAAGAGAAAATGTGACTCGGATATGACACTGAAGATCAATAATTTTTTTTTGTGCCTTAACTTTGTTACTCCAAAAAAATGTAGAGATTGTTGCAGAACTTCATGAAATACAAATGTTAAACCTTTTTATAAACCTTCTAAAATAGAATAGGCTAATTGGGTATCAATAAAAAAACTACATAAAGATAAAACAAAATAAAATTATACTTAAAGGATAATATTATACTGTATAAAACATATATCCCATGAAGTTGTATGACTTTTTTCACATGATCATTATAACCCAGATATAAAGTAAGGTAATCAAAGCCATTAGTGTTAGTTAATAAAAATTGAAAATAAGAGAAGATAGCAATAAAACTAAAATAGGAATGGCTCTAGATAAGGCTATATTAGTATATATAAAATATGTATCAGAAAAAATTTTTTAGTGCTGTTCTGTGTAGATTTGCAAAAAAATTAAATAATAAATTAAATAAAAATTTGTGCAAAACTTCAGACTCACTAGCTATAGCTACAGAAATTAAATACAGTTCTGCGCAAAATTTCAATATATGAAAATTTTGCAAAAATCTGTATTTTCGCAAGTTTTTGCAGATTTGCACTTATTTAATTTTCCCAATGATTTACAGTTAACTTTTCTAATCTTGTATTATTATTAATTATATAAAACCCTTATATTGATTATACAAAAGATTGTAAAATGTTATAAATCAATTTTTTATATTTAATTTAATTAAATTAA